TCAAGCACAAGTCGCTCGTGAACTGCACCCCTGTCGAGTGGGGGTGCAGGGCGGGCCACTCCACGGGCACCGGCGGGCCTCGGCTGTCCGGGTGCGGGTCAGCTGCCGGCTTCACCGATAACGAGACATCTACCTATAACGCTGCATGGTTATTGACAGTAAGGAATGCAGCCCTAACCCCCCTGACAACAATAAGTGTGCACTATCTGGTTACAACTAACTTCGCTCTTCCATTCATGCCGTCATGTTTCCCCGAGCGCATAACTCGTGTCACGAATGGGATAACCGCTCGGCTTGTCGTCTTCGTCTGGTGTGTTAGTATGTACACATGCACACCAGGCGATGACGATAATCCGAACAGTTCTTCCATCCGTGATGCTCATACCACGTCGCAAGTATTCCGTAAAACCGCAGATGTCGTAGGCCAACGCGCACAAATCAAGTGCCATGTCATCTTTAATTTGTTTTTGATATTTGCCGACAAGGGGCCAAGGTCGCATCCCGAATTAAAGCTGAAAGGAGGGACATTCGACGCAGCGCACATCCAAAAATCGCGAAAAACAACAGGAGTTTCCCGCGAACCACGGTCTCACTAAGCCATAGCCTGCTCAGGTCTGCCACTGGCAAGCGGCTGATCAAATAAACGGAGGAGTGCCTGGCCGGCCTGCAACATCCCTGCTGGCCGCTGGTCTGGTTACACGTGACGACACTGTGTGCCTACGTCGGCGGCTCCAAGTGCACCCGCCTCCTCCCTCCCGAGCGGACATCACGGGGACAAACCGCGGCGACGTCTGCCTGTCCGCGCCGCCACTGGGCTCCAGTCACTCCCCACCGCCGACGGTCTGACGCCGCACTGCCCACCACCTGTGACGCAACACCACACCGCCCGCCGCCGGTGAAGCAACACCGCACCTTCCATCGCCGATGACGCAACACCGCACTGTCCACCGCCGGTGACGCAACACCGCACCTTCCATCGCCGATGACGCAACACCGCACCGTCCACCGCCGATGACGCAACACCGCACCGTCCACCGCCGATGATGGGTCACGCCTGGCGGATGACATCGAACTGAACCCGGATCCGGATGGTGCGGTGGCACAGGTGGCGCCACCTGCTGCAAGCACGGGAATACTTAACGTATGCCACGCAAACGTGCGCAGCTTAAAGAAGCAGCTGGCCTGCGCCCCGGCCGTGGAACGCTTTGGCATTCTAGCAATATCGGAAACCTGGCTGAACGGCGCCGTGTTAGACTCCAAGCTCGATATCGTATTCCAGCAACGCCCCTGGTTCCGCCGAGATCGTGGGTCTGTAGGTGGCGGCGTGGCCTGCGCCGTTCGCGCGGCACTGCTGCCGCTGCGCCTGCCAGACCCGGCCAACATCGAGGCGCTGCTGATCCGTCTGCACGATGCATCGGTGGCTCTGGTCGTGTGTTACCGTCCTCCCGACGGCGACGCTTCAACTGACCGAATAGCTGCTGCCCTGTGGGCAGAGCAATCGCTGAATTGCAGAGCTGTTGACGTCAGATCTTTCAACCTCCCTGAGATATATTGGACACAGGCAGCCGGTGGTGCCGCTCCTGATCTGCGGAGGGCGTCGAACCGTGCCACTGCATTCGTCGACATGTGCGACTTGCCGCGTCTGAAACAAGGGGTCCGCCAACCCGCTAGAGGAGAGAACTTTCTGAATCTAGCACTGTTCCGACTAGAGACCCAACTTTTCAGCCCGCCAACCCGCCAAGTCCTGGCGCCCAAGAATCCGCGAATTTTTGGCCAGGTTTTGGGCCAGCCTAGGCTGGCTTTTGCAGATCAAACATTCCAGCAGCTAGAATAATGTGATGGAAACCTGCAGTGCATTACTGCAGCTTCACGCACTTGTCAATGCCGCCAGCAGTTACTGGCTCATCAAATGCGCAGCACTTGCCAAAACTTAAAAAAAGTAGCGGCATAGAGTTTGTGTATCTATGAAGAAAATGCAATTTGTGACCATGACTCCGAAGCACTGACTTAGCACGGCTTTCCCTTACAGCGGATGTTGCTATTTTCCAACGTATTTTTCACAAAAGCTTTTGTTTTGATTTGTTTATTTTCCAATACTTGAACCCACATGTAATCCTGTGTGAAATATATTTATCTCAATATGTGACGCCAATGAAGCATTCAACAAAGCTCACAAGTTGCAGTCTGCAAGTCGTGAGAAATAAAGAACGAATTCTTGGAAATTGTTTTTAAAACTTTTGGTTTGTCTTCATAGACATTTTCTGCAGCATGCAAAAGTATGTCACGGTTTTTGATGGCATTGCTAAATGTCAAAGATGTGACAGGAGGGTCAAATATTCGTGAACAAAACGTTATTGCCCTCTACTTTCACACCCTATTACACAAGCGGCGTTACAGGGGCTGTGGGACAGAACGTGGTAGTGGTAAGACAGAAATGTGGATCTTTTCAAAGCTACTAAGTGGTTTTTACGTGGTGTGGTCACATGATCTATTGACTTAAGGGCAGCAAACAACATGAAGGAGGCTGAATCTGGTTGTTTAATGATAAATATGACCTTATGGAAATTGTAACGCAGTCGAATTCTGATTGAGCTTTTGCGCATTGTAATGAACTGATGCTTCCCATTACTTGAAAAATCCAGGATGTTTTACTCTGTCAGTGCAAAGCCATGAGTTGAGACGTGCGGTTTTAGAAGAAATGACTCGTGGTTTTCTAAGATGAGTTAGAAGGGTGACATCATTGTGCCCCTTTGGTAAAAGGCATATTTAATTTCCACGCTCGTCATTCCATTTGTGGTTGAAAACCGCTATCACAGCGTTTAAGATCTGCTTTGGTGCGTTATAAATCCCTTTCGCAGATAATGTTATTGCTGCGCCCTGAGCAGCATCACGGGTGTTAGGGAACAATTAGGTGACATATACATGCTATTTTATGCCCACTTTAATGCATAGTTCTAAAATCAAGGTGAAATTAGAAAATGTTCATTGCAATAAATTTGCACTCGTGGGTTAAGAACGGATCAGCTTTGCAGCATGGAAGGGTTTTGCGGGTTGGATCACTAGCCAGGCGGAACGGGCTGGGCCGCGGGCTGATATTTTGGAGACAGTTGCATCTCTAGTCCCAACACATACTGTCACAGATCAATGTGCAAGATAGTCTTCTAAACTCAGACCGCAAGGAGATCATTGCCACCCTCAGCATGTCCCTGCGCAGCTGGCCTGTGGTCAACCGGCGCAGTGCATTCGACTTTACGTGCTAACTTCGGCGCTCTGCGCCAGAGTCTCTCGCTGATCCCGTGGGGCCTCCGGATGACGTCGGGTCTGACCAAACAGTGGACACCTTCTACACACTACTTGAGTCGGCCATCGCCTACCACGTCCTCACGGTGATCCTCCGGCGCCGACTGCTCCTATGGTTCGACGGTGTGGTGCGAGCTGCTCTCCAGCTAAAAGGAGCAGTTTGCCGATGTCTGCGGAGAAACCCCAGCACGGTGACCGCAGCTGAGCTCGTGGGCAGGAGACGTGATTTTAGAACGGTGTCCAAAAATACGTACTCCAAATATTTACATAGGCCCACCGACGACTTCAAAACCAACCCTAAGCGGTACTGGTCGCTATTAAAATGTGTTATTGAGAAGTACTGCATCACCATGCATGCAGGCATGCATCACCAGTCTGGTATCACGCTAAGCGGACTCTCGTGCCGGATAACATGGCTCGCGCTGCCGCGTTGAATGACGCCCTTGATATGAAATTCGCTAATATTTGTGGGCAAAACCCTCCAGATGCACCATGCTACCCAGTCGGGTCACTGAGCCAGCTGAGGGTCTCGGGAGGCAGCCCTGCGATCCGCGATATCTATGGTCGGTCCCAACAAGGCTTGACGATATTAGTCCCCGCATAATCACCGAGTGGGCGGACGAGTTGGTCGCTCCGCTCAACAAGATTTGCAACCTTTCGGTCAGGTGTGATGTCTTCTCGGAGAGGTGGAAGCAGGCCAACACCATACCAATTTTCAAGACAGGCGTCAAAAGAAGCCATTTAATTACAGAAGTACGTTCCTGCTTCCTCTCCTCGGAAAGATGCTGAAAAGGTTTGCGTATGATGAGCTGTCCTGCCACGTCTCGCCTGCGTTGTGCTGTCATCGGCATGGCTTGATTCCTGGGCGTTCGTGCGGCGCGGTCTTATGTGTTTACATTAAGTCGGCTTGGGAGACCATGTCGGACGGATACCAGACGGACGCCATTTACGCTGACTTTTCGGCTGCTTTTCACAGCGTTAACCGTGAACTCCTAATCCACGGCCTAAAAAATCATACTATTTGAGGGAATCTGCACTACAATGGGTAGCCTCGTATTTGTCCGACGGGCGTCACAGGGTTATCATTAACGGAAAACTTCCGATTGAAAATTGGTGACCTCTGGCGTCCCGGATGGGTCACCCTTGACTCCCTTCTTTCTCAGTGTTTAACGATCTTCCGTGCGTTACTGAATCCGGGTGCCTTTTGTATGCCAATCATGTGAACATTTTCCGCAAAACCACGTCTCGGCTGACGGCCTACTGCTGCAGAATGATTATGATCATCTGGTAGAGTGTTGGGTCAGATGTGGCTGACCTTTAACCCGAACTCTGCCGCACCCAAACTCCGCTCGCTGTGCCTCGCGCTCGTGCGCAGAAGATACAGGGCTGTCTGTTTTGCACGCTGCTTAGTGTTGGGAGCACTTTTTTAGCTAGCTCCACCAGCTCGGATATCTTTCATGACAGTTTTGGCATGTTAGGGGTTCATTTGATCAAGTATGTTTCAACTCTGTAGAAACCTCACTTAGCTTTGAGAAATGGTATCCCTTTTTGTTCATACTGTTGTGCGCTGTGTATTTATTGCACTTAATTTAAACGATTTCGCCTGTTAGTGGAGTGCTGCTCTGCAGGCGATAAAAAAGATGAGCGAATAAACAAATGACGCAACACCGTACCGTCCACAGTCGCCGGCGCCGCCGCACCTAGCCGGAGCGCAGCTGTCGCTGCAGCAGCTCAATCTCCAGCCGAAGCTTCCGCTGCTCCAGCCGGAGTGTCCGCTGCTCCATTTGTAGGCTCTGCTCTTGCATCCTCTGCAGCCGCTCCGAGTACTGCAGTAGCTGGGTCAGCATGTGGTCGACGGTGGCCAGGTCGGTCAGCGGCGGCGCCGTCCCGCAGGCCGCCGGCGTCGGCCGCACGGGCTCGGCGGACGTCCCTGCTGACGGCGGGACAGCGGTGGTCCTGGCTGACGGCGGGAGAGCGGTGGTCCCAGCTGACGGCGGTGGCGGCGGCGGCGTCGTGACGTTATCCGGCGCCCCGACACACAGCTCACCGGCCGCCGGGAACTGCTCGCAGGAGAACGGCCAACGGAATCCAAACTTGGTCATCAGCGGCTCGCAGTCGTCCCTGGCTGCCTGGCACAGCTCGCGACACGGCGGCGTCGCAGCGTCCAGCACTGTGCACGGAGGGAAGTACAGCAGACAGACGAACGACGTCAGGCTAGGGCTGCAACGGACCTTCACCAGCGGCGCGAACTGATGCGCCTCAAGCGCCGCCATATCCACGGTCGTGTGGTTCAGAATGTTGGGCATCCGGGCCCGGCTGTAGGGCTGCCCGGCACACATTTCGTTCGTCACATCCTGACAGCGATCGTTGCTGGCACAGGCCAGCGCCAGCACCAGCACCAGCACCAGCACTAAGGCGGAGCGCATCGCGCAGTCTCGGCCGGCGCAGACGAGGGACTGAGCCAGCCCGTGCTGTTTACCGTCCGTTTAAACACGACGACGACGCACTTGTGACGTCACTATTGCCGTCTACCAAGCGAAGCCGTGGCGTGCCTGAGCCACACGTGTCAGCAGCCCGCTGCGGAAATGAAGAAGGCTTTTGTCTTAGCTTCACTAGGAATCCCCGCACAGCCAGCCAATGTCACGAGGTGTGGTACTGTTGGTTTTCCCATCAAGTAACAGAAGGGGCGCGTTTGAGGCACATTACGCCATGGATTTGGTTACCTATCCGAACCGTTGTGCTTCTTCGATATGGCGTTGCCAGGACCCCGCATGTCACGTTCGGAGCCACAAATAGCATTTGGTCTAAACGTTGGGACAAATCACGCTTTGGTTCTGGTCACCTGGGTGCAAGGACAGTGTCATTTTGCAGATCAATAAATAAAAAACAGATAGGTCTGTGCTCGTCCGCGACGGCGCGCGGGTGATTACCCGTGAGGAATGGTGCCTTGCTTTAAGCAAATTCTCTGCTCCAGCGGTCTGCAAAGGATCGCAAATATGTGCATTTGTCAAAGAAATGAGTCGTTGTTGCTACAGCGTCACATGAGCAAATCATTCCAGCAGCTTCTCACACAGATGAGAAGGAACCACGGCTCCCATTCAGAAACATCAGGGGCGCATCATCATCGACAAATATTGAACGCACCAGTTCTATGATTTGACCTGACCTGTCAAATCAGAGATAGTTTTTGTCAGCACACATTCGCAGTAACGGACAGCAGTGTACCGGACAATTAGTGGTGGTTCATTTCATCCAGGTAACGTATCTCTTTCGAGGCATTCTTTGTCAAAATGGGTTATGAACTATGCAAGCTGTTCTGTTGTGCCGCCATTTACAATCCAGTAACATTGAAATATCTGTTCTAAGAGCCACAGCTATCGTGTCCTAATCGCTTAAAGGTCATTCAAAATGGGAAGTTGCAGACAAAGACAAAATTCATCCTAGTCATTCGAAGGTGGCTGATTAGCAGCATGTGTCAAAAATTGGGTAGCTAAGCTGGTGAAAGGCCTTGTGTTGGGCGGGACAGTTGCCCCGCGTTGAATGAGTTACTGCTGTTGAACTCAGTACCACAGGTAGCAATGCGACTAAGCTATCAATCGCAGGACAGTTTAACTTAACAACCATAATTCGTTTTGCCCACCCGCCGATGCCATATTCAAACAATCGCTGAAACAACAAAAATGCAAGTCAATTTGGTATGTAGCCTACTTCATCCATTTAAGCACATAGGTCATCCACTACGATGCTATTCAAAATGCTTTTCGACAACGTTCTTAAATCAGTCCAATCCGATAAATACAGGTCATTTTTTGACGTGATATTTTATAACGAATCAATGTGCCAATAACCTAATGGATCCAGTTTGTCAAGACATCTACCGACGGTTTGATCCGCTGGTCAAGGTGAAAAAAAACAGTGAACAGCTAGTTGAAGCTGCTGCGGAAATTTGGCTAAAACAGAAACAAATTTCCCAACTGTGCACGGACATATTGCCGACGCATTACACTTCTAGCTGCTGCGCTTAAGTGTGCCAACAATCCACGCTTCTTACCTTGTTTCCTGTGAGCTGCATAAATGCCTGGGCGGCAACGGCCAGGCTTGTGAAAAACCAAAGCCGAAAGACTCATCGCAACCTTCAATTAAGGGCCCGCAAAGCCGTCCGGAGGTCGCATTCAGGGTTCCTGACCCGCAGAGACAGACACGCCAATGACAGCCAGAGGGCCCTGCGCGCTGATCAGGGACCTTCTAAATCGATAAGGGCTTACATGTTGGTCAAACACCCCGGATAAGGCACAGTCGGCTCCGTGGCGGCATGGGCCTGGGGGTACATTTCCCAGACAGGAGATAACAGGAGCCAGCAATTTACATTGGTCGGGGCCCCAGCGCCTGTCAGCGTCCCACAGCGCCCTGTGTGGGCCAGGGGGGGGGGGGGGACAAGGGGGACAGGGTAACAGGGGCTCTGTGTGGCAACGAGCCCCGAGTTGGTCAGAGGTAGTGTTCGAGGAGGCCCGGAGAGCCCAGAGGGCCCACCGAGCCCAATGATCAAGGGTTAGATTGGAGGGTCTAGGGGCACGAAGGGCTGGTTGGAGTCTTACTCTGGTGCCCTGGTCTACAGGGTAAAGCTGCTGGCCTCAAATAACAGCCAGAGGACTCCTTGCACCGATCAGGGGCATTCTGAATCGATATGGGCCTACATGTCGGTCAGGCACTACCAGTAACGCACAGTCGGTTCTGTATCGGTATGGACCTGAAGGGCCGCTTCCCAATCAGCTATAAAGCCAGGACCAGTAACTTACACTGGTCGGGGCTCCTGTATTTATCAGGGGCCTAAAGTGTCTAAGATCCTGTGCTGGCAAGGGACACAGCCGACCAAGGGAAGTGTTCGACAAGGCCCGAAGAGGGGTCCGGGTGGCTCGCCGGAATCGACGATTAAAGGCCCGGTTGGAGGGCATAAGGGCGCAAAGAGCTGGCTGTGGTCACATGGAAATTCGAGGCACGGAGGGCCGTGACTTAAAATATCAGTCAAAAGCCTTCTTGCACCATTTGAGAGGCCCCAAGCACAATGCGGGTGGCATCCAGAGACTACCGAACACTGAACAGTCGGCTCCATGTCCGTCCGAGCCCTTGAAACCCAAACAGGAACGAGGCCGGGCCTACGATTTGCAATGTTCGGGATCTCTGACACAATGAAGAGTTGGTTTGTTTGTTCAGTTTTGGTGAATACGCTTTGACCGTGGCCGTCTTTAGAACATTACGCTTCCTCTTGACTGATGACGATGCTACGATACTGGTGTCTCTGGTCAGGTCGTCCCGGGTGATGTTTCAGGCGCGTTTTTTCATGTGCTCTTTTGAAGCACCGGCAGCCAAGTACATCGTCAAACGCCTTGAAAGTGTGGCGGCAGTGACACCAGCGTAGGTTCATTGGTTTAGGTATCTGCAATTTCCTATGCCACAACCAAACTGGTTAACTACGTTAATACGTTTCAATCGGTTGGCCTTGACTGTTAAATGATTTCTCATGATGAGCTGGGTGATTTTGTTTTTGTTTTTGTAGTGTATGGTGAGAATGACTACCCAAAACCACATTTAACTCTGAATGGTTGGTGAACTCTGCGGGCGACACCATCCCTTCCCCTTCATACGGTGACCACAGTGCCTGCTATCGCAACTACCATTTTCTTTCTAGCCCTGGCGAGCCTTGTCGCTTACAAAGTCCAGCCAAGGTGTATGAAACCAATACTACGCATATCCCGTCCTGACCCAAACGCTTTGCCTGGCTTTGAACTCCCAAGAAGATCAGCAAGTGGTCTAGTTCATGACGAACCGGACGAAGTCAAGACGAGGTTCAAGATGAAGACCAGACTGGCCAACTCCTGTGGGAACATTGATGACGACGCCCCGGTCTCACGGTTCGTACGCCGCACCCTGCAAGGCAGTGTCCGTTTACCTTCCGCCGGATCACCACTAGGCCGCTTCACCGGATCAGACTACTGGGTACAGCTCGCGAGAGCTCGCTAGCCCTGTGCCAGGGTGTAACCCACATAAACCTGCCGGCTCCTCAAGCACCCGAACCTTCCTCGCCGACCACAGATCCGCCAGGTTTGGGAAAAAAGGCATGGCCTGACCGACAAACAGCACCGCTCTCCGGCAGCTGTCTGCAGCTACAAGCCTATCCTCCTGGCTGCAGCTGCAACAGCTCGCTATCTCTCTCTCCATCATGGACCATAAACATCACACAGTCCATTTTGGGTGAGATCCGAGTGCAGGGAGAGACATTAGTGCCTGTCGGATGGTGGCAAGCGTGTCGTTGCGACGACACATGGGAATCCTTAAACAACTTGCCATAATCCTGAAACAACTTGGCTTTGTAATGGAGTATTTAGTAGAAAAGAAGGTAGGCCTGGACTCGACCACCAACTGGGGTCCACAAGGCAAGCCAGAGCCGAGGTGTTTGAAACCAGCCTACAGAACTCTGCTAGCGGTGCCTCGACCACCGCCTGCACCACTGCCAGAGATCTGTGCCGGCTGTACAGAAGATTTTCCGTCCAAAGAAGTCCTAGTAGTCCACGAGAGGGGTTGCCAGTCTCTCACTAGCATCTTAATGGATGTCTCGGAAACCCCTTCCCTGAAGGAGGTACAGCCTCTCTCCTCTACGCCGGACCTGACATTGGACCTCAGCCTGCTGGTCTCCTATCTGAAGCAAGACGAGAGCGACCTGCCTCTGTGGGTCCCACTGGTCTTTGGAAAGGACCCGGCGAGCTTGCCTACAGATGCTGCTGCTCCTGCTAGTGCTGTTGCCGCTGTTGCTGCTCCTGTTGCAGCTGTTGCCACTGCCACAGCCCGTGCTGCTCTTGCTACTGCCGCTGCCGTTGCCACTACCCCTGCTGGTGCTGCTGCTTCTGTTGCCACTACCCTTGCGTCAAAACAAAAATGATCCAGGAGGCACCGTTTGCCCAGAAATTTTCATAAGGAGAGAAAACGACCTGAATGTGTTATAAAATCAGGGAGCTAGAATCGCTTTTGAACTAGGGTGGGAGTGAAAAGTTCCATCGCAAAAAAAAACGTGCGGGAGTGAAAAAAATCAATTCACGAAAGGGATGAAGCTTATGAGCTCGGGACTGATACTTCAGCAAACAAAGACATTTATTTCAAGTTGGTATGCACGTAATATCAGGAGCCTGACAAACCTATTTCGTTTTTTAACATCTTAGGCTATTTAAGTGAAACAGAATACATTAACACGCGCTCGGGTGGCAGGTGGGGGTGCAAATTACCCCCCCCCCCCGAGGGCTTTTCCCGAATGGTTTCTGAACGGCGCGGCGTAATTGCGCCAAATTTTGCATAGCCGTAGAAAATTGCACAGCGGATCGTTTGACGTGCAAATTTTAGATGTACCTTGTAAGCTCGCTGACCTATGACAGGCCAC